CACCAGGCCCTTCCTTCAGTACATGGGGATTAAAATTCAACATGAGATTTGGGTGAGGACACAGAGCCAAACCATATTAGGGCCTTATAAGGCTAGAATCAAGGTCTCAGGTGGACTGCATTTCCTTCTGGAGTCTCCGGAGAAGAATCTACTTCCAAGCTCATTCAGGTCATTGGCTAAATTCAGTTCCTTGCTGCTATGGTTTGAGTTTATCCCCTCTGAAACTCACTTGAAATTTAATCCTTATTGTGGTAGTGTCAGGAGGTGGGGCCTAGTGGGAGCTGTTTCGGTCATGGGGTGGGAGCCCTTATGAACAGATTAATGACCTTCCTGAGAGGTGAGTGAGTTCTTCCTCTGGAGGGTCTGTATTACCAGGGATCTGCTCGTTGTAAAATCAAGTCAACTTCCTAGACTGTTTCTTGCTTCCTGTGTCATCATGTGATCTTTTTGTATATATGCCTGCTGGCTTTTCCACTTCTCTGCCATTGGCCTGACCCAGCATGTAGCCCTCACCAGAAGCAGGCCAGATGCAGCACTATGCTCTTGAACTTTCCAGCCTAAGGACTCATGAGCTAAATAAACCTGTTTTCTTTATAAATTACCCAGCCTCCAGCATTACATTACAGCAACACAAAACAGACACTTGCGGTTGTAGGACTAGGGTCCCCATTTTCTTACTTGCTACAGCCAGGCCATGCTCAGCTCCTACTGTTAAGCTGCACTCCTTGCCATGTGGACCCCTCCATCTTCAAGCTGGCAGGAGAATTTCCCTATGTCAAATCCATCTCATTCTTTGAAGCCCCAACTCTCCCTATCTCTAACTTCTAACCAGATTTAAAGAGCTCCTGTGGTTAGGTCAGGCCCATCTGGATAATCTCCCTGTTTGGGAGCTTAATTACATCTCCAAAATCCCTTCACAACAATAGCTAGAACAGTCTTTGAATGAATAACTGAGAGAAGGCAGATGTACACCAAAGACCAGGGATTTGGGAACCATCTTAGAATTCTTCCATCACAACTGTAAAAGCTTAAAATGATTGTGTGCATGAATATCCATACAAATATAGTAAATACATATGTATACATACATACCAGGTTTATATCTTGATGTAAGTCTTCTTTGGCTTATTTAATTTTATAACTATGCTTCATTTCCCATAAAACTAACCGCTGGTTCCTCAGTAATCATTCAGCCCAATTCAATCCATTCTGATTGAATACCCAATGCATATCTGGCTCTGTTCCTGCTCTTCAAATGCCCTCTAAGGGTGTGAAATGTAGTAGTAGAAGACAAAACAAGTGCACACCCATTGCTCTAAAATATAGCAGAATAGCCCAAGAGGGCCAGATCCTGTCCTGTTGAGGAGATTTAAAAAGCTTCAGGGAGGAAAGGACATCTGACTTTAATCTTGAAGAACAGATGAGATTGTAACAAGCAGAGATTCACAAGTAGGTGATTGGAAAATCCAGATAGAAGTCGTCAAGTAATTATATGAGCAAGGACATTAAGAGGAGAAAATATGGGCCAGAAAACAGCTGGCACATATGTTTGAATGGAGAAAAATAACAGATGGGATTAGAAGAGTATGTTTGTGTCAAACAGGACTTGGAAGCCAAATTAAAAAATAATGGAGGATCATGGAAATGGAGGAAACAACAAAATTAGTGCTGCAGAGGAAAATCCTGAACTCCATTTTTTTTTTTTTTTTTTTTTTTGAGATGGAGTCTCCTCTGTTGCCTAGGCTGGAGTGCAGTGGTGCAATTGGCTCACTGCAACCTCTGCCTCCCGGGTTCAAGAAATTCTCTGCCTCAGCCTCTCAAGTAGCTGGGATTACAGGTGCCTACCACCACACCTGGCTAATTTTTTGTATTTTTAGTAGAGACAGGGTTTCACCATCTTGGCCAGACTGGTCTTGAACTCTTGACCTCGTGATCCCCTCGCCTTGGCCTCTCAAAGTGCTGGAATTACAGGCATGAGCCACTGCACTCAGTCAAATCCTGAACTCTTGTGATGGGAATTGAGGAAGGAGAATTTGTCAGTCACCCATGCTACAAGTAGGAAGGCCTATGCTCAGGGAGTGAACAAAGAAATGAAAATCAGAGAGGCGTGCCCACAGTGCGAAATGTGGGTTAAAAGAGAAAGAGGAGTAGTCACAAATGACTCCGAGGTTTCATGCTTACAACTGGAGAATGTTCCCTGATTGCAGCTTATTATCACCTCACATATATCAGTTGACCTTGCTTTGTGACTCAAGAAATCACAGACTCATAGGACTCTGTGGCTGGAAAGGATCTCAGAGATCTCAGAGAGAGGGTGATTGAGAACTGGCCAAGTTAAATATCATTTCAAAGGCACTTGGCTGATTAATGGCAGGAGACTCAGGCAAGTAAGTTCAGGCCTCTGCATCTTCCATCAAACCGACTGCTGGTTTCCTAGTAATCTTTACAAAGCTCTTCTAGAGGCAATATGCAAAAGGCAAATAGCATAATTTGTCACTGGGCAGAGGCCAGAACGGGGCTGAGGCTTGGCACGCATGAACTGGCACCATTTCAGGACTAATTTAGATCTCACTTCTTTGAAGATTGCTTTCTGAAATGGCAGTCTCCAAAATTTTTTGAAAAAGTAGACTGCCCGAGATGGGTGCACAACACAGGCAAATGTTATACGTGGATAAATATGTGCTAGAATTGCCTTCAGGATTTCCACAGAACAGTGTTTTTCCTACTATCTTCCAGAGATTTCCAGTGTTTTAATTTCAAAAATTCAAACTCTCCTTCAATATTGGTTCTTAAGCTGAGGGGAGGCCAGGGCACTGCCAAAGCCACTAAGATATTTTCAAAGCAAAATCCTTCCTGTTAACTCAATCATAGCAGAATGACTGTAGCCAGCTCTTTGGCAATTTCTTCTTCCCAGCTTGAAGGTTTTCCAATCATAGCAAATAGCTGCTGAGTGGAGGGGACTCTGGAAGCTATCGCTTCTGTGTCTTGAAAGTGTGCACATCTTAATTCTTCTGATAAAAGCATCTCTTTTCCTCATGAGAATGCCATTCCCAACCCTAGAGCTTCAGGGGATGGACTGGCAAAATACATATATATATATATATATATGAATGTTGAATTTTGTGGCTGTTTCTTGTGGCCCTTATTAAAGTCCTACAAGTAAAGGGAGCTTGGCCCATCTGCACACAGAAACTGCACAGCACCCATCTTTGCCAAGAGAGGCCCTTGCTGCCAGGTAATCAGCAACCCAAGATGGCCAACGGTCATGGCCTTGCACCCTGCTGAAAAGCCAAGTCCTCTACCCTTGTTGCAGTTGGTTTGAGCAGAGGTAAAAAGATGAAAATTAGATTAGGAGAGAAGCAGACAAATAGAAGAAGCCTAATTACCCAGCCCCCTGCACAGTATTCTCTATTTACAGGATTAAAAAATCCCCCATTAGAAAGTGCTATCCACTGGAATCCTTAGGGAAGGAAGTTTACACCAGCACTTCCTCACCATGCCAGTTGATTGTTGTATGCTGCTCTGAAGCAGGGGAGAGGATGTAAAGGGTTAAACTGATACTGTGGGCGAAGGGCAGAATTTCTCAGCCTGTTGCTAGGACTCATAAACCACACGGAAAAGGTCCAGATTCCAAGGTCATAAACGGGACAAATTTCTGGTATTAGCTACAAACAAATGGAATTCCTGGGAATCAAATCCACTGGCTGCCTGCCTGTTGGTTTTAAAGAAATGTACCCATACTGCCAGGGAAATCCCTAGCCTGGAAAACAAAGACCTGTGATTGCTCAAACCCTAAGGCAATTTCCCAGCCTGAATAACTCTTCCAAAGCAAAGAAGGTTTAAGCTCTACAGCACTCAGTAAAGATGTTCCCCTGCATCTCTTAGGAAAGGCTCTGGAGGAAATGGACAAGGGGTCCCATCAGGCAGACCCAAACTGACCACCCAAGTGACCCATTCTGCTGCCAGGGCAGAGGATGCTTGCTTCTCCTGGCCAGCAAGAGGTGATCATTGCTATAGCCCCCCTGACCACTACACATTATCTTTTCCTTCTTTCTAAATTAGAGTATTTATTGTGTTATTCAGTTTTCCCTCTCATATTATATACTGTGGTTTGAGGTTGGTTAAATTTGCCATTTAGTCATAGATTACTTACAAGCACAAGAAACACATCTGGACTTGATCAAGAGGAACATGCTATCCCCAGGATTCCTGGTCTTGGAGCTGGATGCAGTAACACACCCAGCTTTGAGTTGTTTTCCACTAGGGTTCCATGTGAGATTGTACATGGGATAGTTCCATTTTGTTAAGGGAAGATGTTTTTCTCAATATTATATGTGTATGTGCACAAGCTACGCAGCCAAATGGTAATGGACTGTTGTAGCTCTTGTACTGGTCTTTCAGCATCTTTTCCTGGGCTCCATTTCTTGATGGGGATTCTGTCTCCCTCTCGGTTCAACCCTAGTGGACGTATTGGTCACATTGCTCTGCCTCCAACCAGCCATGAGGAGGCATAAAACCCAAGGGAGGCCGATCATCCTAGCCTTCCTCCTATTAACAGTGATTCATCCAATGGACAGTCACTAAACCTAGGAAGAAAGCATCTTTCCCTGAATTGAAAAGCTATGTGTTCCCAGTGAAATTGCAAAGCTGGGGAAGCTTGCCATCCCTCCCTCTCATATGTCTTGTTGTAGAAGGAAACGAAGCCAAGTCACGCTTAAAAACAGAACTGAAATAAGAGAAAGATAGAAAGAGAAGTCCCACTCACAGTGTTGAGTCCCCAGGCCCAGTTCCCAGAGCCTTGGTGGAGTAGCTCTTAATTCTATAAGCTCCCATCCACTCTCCCTCCTCCCATCTTTTTCAGCTATGAAGCTTTTTGCTTAAGGTAGTATGAATTGGGTTCTGGTCACCAGTGACAATTTTAAAAACAGATCTCATCAATATGAACTTGATGCTGCAAAGAAGAAAGAAGGACAGCATTTGTAGACAGAAAGTAATTTTACCTTTCACCTGAGCCCAAACTGCACAGGAGTGTCTTCTCACCTATGAAGGAAAACAAAGCAATGCATTTAACCAGGTGGCACACAGTGTCAGTTGAAATAACACAGTTTGGAGGCTGAAGCCCTCTGAGCTTCAGCTTTTTCAATCTCTTCATATGAACTAGATCTTTAAAGTCCAATCTAGCTCTAATATCTTGTGATATCACTAAGTGCTCAAGGGACTGGCATGGATTGCACGGACAGAAGTGACCCTACAGATCACTTCTATAGGCTTCCAATAGGTCTTGGAAAGCACACACGATAGGCCAACAACAGGAGTGGCAAAAAGGATCATTCCCCTGGCCAGCTCTGAGCGACTGGCATGAACTGCCTGGAGAACTATGCTAAAAAGAATTCTGAGGTCACACGTTCAGAAGGTTCTGCAAGAAGTGGTGATGCATGCTACAGGCAAAGCTATGGGAAGTCCCAGGATACAATACTTCACCTATCTGAATGTCATTTGGCAATGTCAGTTACCCAAATATGTCCATGAACCAGGAAGAAAGGAACAGGAACATATTTGAAAGTTCATCCATAGTAGAAGAAACCTACAGATTCATTGGAATGAACACCTCTTCCCTGCTACCATTATGATATGCGTATTTGCCTCTTAGAAATGCTGGGGACTTGCTGTGTATAAGACTTGAAAATATTACCCAGAGGAAGCTGAATGGTGAGGGTTAGAGAAGAATCCTTCCAGCCGGGCACAGTGGCTCATGCCTGTAATCCTAGTACTTTGGGAGGCCGAGGTGGGCAGATCACCTGAGGTCAGAAGTTCAAGACCAGCCTGGCCAACATGGTGAAAGCTTGTCTCTACTAAAATACAAAAATTAGCTGGGCATGATGGCAGGTGCCTGTAATCCCAGCTACTTGGGAGGCTGAGACAAGAGAATCACTTGAACCTGGGAGACAGTGGTTGCAGTGAGCCAAGATAGTGTCACTGCACTTCAGCCTGAGTGGCTAAGCAAGACTGTCTCAAAAAAAAAAGAGAAGAATCCTTCCAATGTCATTAGGAGATTCTCTTTCAAATGACAGCCTTGGGCATTCTGGTCTTGGTTTTATTAATTTTCTTTTTAACTTAAGCTTAAAAATTCTGAGAAAAGCTGCTGGGTGTAATGGCTCACATCTGTCATCTGTAATCCCAGCTTTGGGAGGCTGAGGTGGGCGGATCACCTGAGATCAGGAGTTAGATACCAGCCTGGCCAACATGGTGAAACCCCATCTCTACTAAAAATACAAAACAGCCAGGCATGGTGGTGGGTGCCTTTAATTCCAGCTACTTGGGAGGCTGAGGCAGGAGAATTGCTTGAACTCAGGAGGCAGAGGTTGCAGTGAGCCAAGACCATGCCATTGCACTCTAGCCTGGGCAACAGAACAAGACTCCATCTCAAAAAAAAAAAAAAAAGTCTGAGAAAATCTTAAAATAGCCATAAGTGTTTGAATGTGACTAACATTTGCTTTGATGCTAAATGCAGAGATTATAAATGGAAGGTAATGTGCAAGAATAACCAGCGAAGGACATATTTCAAGACATTGGAGAATGGAAGGGACCTCAAATAGCAAGGCAGTTTGGGGGAATGGAGTATATTAAAGGAGAGAAACTGGAAGGGGCCAGGTGAAGGAGGGAGCTTACTAAACTGAAATGCCTTGATCATACTTGCATTTTATAAAACTCATGCTGGCAGTGAGTGGTATGGAGCAAGGAGATGGGTAGAATAAGAGGCAGGAAGATGAGTTAGAACAGTGGTGTTCAGGTAAGAGATGACAAAACCCGAGCAGTGCAGATGAAGGACAGGAAAGGATGATTTTAAACAGAATTAAGGTGACAGAACTGACATGATTTGCTGATGGTCTGGATAAGAAGGTAAGCAAGAAGGAAGAGACAAGAACTATTCACAGCTTTCTGTCTTAGCACCAGGAGGCATGGTGATGCTATTTATTAGGACAGACGTACAAAGGGAAAAACAAAATGAGGGAGTTGGAAGACTCATATTCCCTGATTTCAAAATTTAGTAAAAAGCTACAGTAAACAAAACAATGTGGTACTGACATAAAGAACAGACATATAGGCCAATGGAATAGCATAGAGAATCTAGAAATAAACCCTTGTGTATATGTCAAATGATTGTTAACAAGAATGCCAGACCATTCAATGGGGAAAAGACAGTTTTTTTCAGACTTGGCACACTGGCTCACAAATGTAATCCCAGTACTTTGGGAGGCCGAGGTAGGAGGATCACTTGAGATCATCAGTTTGAGACCAGCCTGGGCAACATAGGGAGACCCCATCTCTACAAATAATTTTTAAATATTAGCCAGGCATGGTGGTGCACACCTGTAGTCCCAGCTACTTGGGAAGCTGAGGCAGGAGGATTAGGAAGATCACTTGAGCACAGGAGGTTGAGGCTGCAGTGAGCCATGATTGCACCACAGCACTCCAGCCTGGGTGACAAAGTGAGACACTGTCTCAAAAAAAAATTTTTTTCTACAAATGGTACTGGGAAAACTGGATATCTACATATTAAAGAATGAATGTGGAAATGGATCAAAAACCTAAGCATAAGACCATAAACTATAAAACTCTTAGAAGACAACATAGAGCAAAAGCTTCATGAAACAGGATTTCTCAGTGACTTCTTGGAAATGGCACCAAGACACAGGCAATAAAAGAAAAAATAGACAGACTGAACATCATCAAAATTTAAAACTTGTATGCAGCTAAGAACACTATCAACAGTAAAAATGCAACCCAAAGAAGGGACAAAAATATCTGCAAATCACGTATTTCACAAAGCATTACAGTAATATCCGGAGTATATGGAGAACTCTTAAAATTCAACAAAAACAAAAACAAATAACCCATTCAAAAATGAGCTAAGGTCTTAAATAGACATTTCTCTAAAGAAGATACACAAATGGCTGATTAGCCCATGAAAATGTGGTCAACATCACTAGTCATTAGGGAAATGCAAACCAAAACCAGAATAAGATGTCATCTCATGCTGGGAGTAGCAGCTCACACCTGTAATCCCAGCACTTTGGGAAGCCAAGGTAGGTGGATCACTTGACCCTAGGAGTTCAAGACCAGCCTGGGAAACATGGCAAAATCCTGTCTCTACAAAAAATAGAAAAGTTAGTCAGGTGTGATGGCACATACCTGTAGTCCCAGCTATTCAGAAGGCTGAGGTGAAAGGATCACCTGACCCCAGGGGGGTCAAGACTGCAGTTAGATGTGACTGAGCCACTGCACTTCAGCCTGGGCAACAGAGTGAGACCTCATCCCCCACTTCCAATTTTAGTATATGTGCTGCCGAAGCGAGCACGCATCCCCCACTTCCAAAAAAAAAAGATGTCACCTTGGGGCCAGACATGGTGGCTCCTGCCTGTAATCCCAGCACTTTGGGAGGCTGAGACGGGTGGATCACCTGAGGTCAGGAGTTCGAGATCAGCCTGGCCAATATCATGAAACTCTGTCTCTACTAAAAATACAAAAAATTCACTGGGTGTGGTGGCAGACACCTGCAATCCCAGCTACTCCGGAGGCTGAGGCAGAAGAATCACTTGACCCCAGGAAATAGAGGTTGCAGTGAGTCGAGTTCGCACCATTGCACTCCAGCCTGGGTGACAAGAGCGAAACTTCGTCTCAGAAGAAAAAAAAAAAGATGTCGCCTCACACCCTATATTATAATAGGATGCCTAATTACAAGAAAAAAAAAACAGCAAGAGTTAGCAAGGACATGGACAAATTGAAACTCCTACACACTGCTGGTGGGAATGACAAATGGTGGTACTTCCTCAAAAAATTAAACATAGAATTATCATTTGATCAAACAATTCCACTTCCAGATATATATACAAAAGAACTGAAAGCAGGGACTCAAACAGATATTTGTATACCAATGTTCACAGTAGCATTATTCACAATAGCCAAAAGGTGGAAAACATTCCATTATTTATCCATGGATAAATGAATAAACAAACGTGGTATATTCATATAATGGAATATCATCCAGTCTAAAAAAGGAAGGCAATTCTGACACATGCTATCACATGGGTGCACCTAGAAGACTTTAGGCTAAATGAAATAAGCCAATCAGAAAAAGAAAATACTGAATGATCCTTATATGAGGTACCTAGAGTAGTCAAATTCATGAAGACAAAAAGTAGGGCCGGGCGTGGTGGCTCATGCCTGAAATCCCAACACTTTGGGAGTCAAGCTGGGAAAATCACTTGAGCCTAGGAGTTTGGAACCAGCCTGGGCAACATGGAGAGATTCCATCTCTACAAGAAATAAAAATAAAAGATTAGCCAGGCATGATGGTGCACACCTGTGGTCCCAGTTAACTCAGGCGGCTGAAGCATGAATATTCTTTGAGCCAGGGAGGTTGAGGCTGCAGTGAGCTATGATCATGCCAACTGCACTCCAGCCTGGGCAACAGAGCAAGACTCTATCTCAAAAAAAAAGACAGAAAGTAGAATGATGGTTGCCAAGGGCTGTGGGAAGGAAGGAATGGGGAGTCATTTAATGGGTATAAAGTTTGTTTTGCAAGATAAAAAGAGTTTTGGAAATTGGTTGCACAACAGTATGAATGCACTTAATGCCACTGAACTGCACGATTTAAAATGGATCAGACAGTGCCCTTTAAAATGTACTGTATACTTTCAAATGGTTAAGACCATTTTATATTATATATATTTTACCACAATTAAAAATTAAAATTAAATCACTATTGATTTTATTGTAATTATCAAACAAATATAGTTGAAACCTATGGGAAAGTCATTGCAATTCAAATATGTAGATTCAAATATAAATTTTTTCAAAGCCCTTTCATCTTCCTTAACATCCTAAAGAATAAGCACATTTTCTTTTGTTCAGCTGCATGAAAAAGAGTATCAAGGACATCACAGGAAAGTTTCCTGTCAGCCAGAATTTGTATGTGTGTGTGTGTCTGTGTGTGTACGTGTGTGTGTTTGTGTGTGTGAGAGAAAGGGAGAGATTGGAGAGAGAGACAGGGTCTCACTCTGCTACCCAGGCTGGAGTGCAATGGCATAATCTCAGCCCAGTGCAACTTCTGTCTCCCAGCCTCAAGCAATCCTCCTGCCTCAGCCTCCCAAGTAGCTGTGACCACGGGCACACACCACTGTGCCTGGCTAATAAACCAGAATTCTTGTCTTAACCTCCAACTTCATTCCCTCTATTATGAACCAAATGTGTGTGCCCCTGCTTACCACCCAACCCCTGCCCCAAATTCACATGTTGAAGCCCTAACCTACAATGATATTTGGAGGTAGAATCTTTGGGAGAGAGATAGATTCAGAAGAGGTTATAAGCGTGGAGCCCTCGTCATGGGATAAGTGTCCTAATAAATAGAGGAAGAGCAATCAGAGCTCTCCCCACCCCATTCCACCCCCACTCCCATGTGAGGACACTATAAGAAGGCGGCTGTCCACAAGCCAGGAAGAGAGCCCTCCCTGGGGAAATGAATCAGCTGGCACCTTAATCCTAGGTTTCCCAGCACAGGCTGTGAGAAATAAATGTCTGTTGCCTAAGCCACCCAGTCTATCATATTTCACTATAGCAGCCCAAGCTGACTAATATACCGTCCCCAAAGAAAGTCTTAATCTAGGACAGTGGCTTTCTGAACCATCTCTAAATTTTACTCATGTTGTACTGCCAGTGTTTTGTCTGTGGCTAAAAACTCCAAGTCAGAAACCCCAAGTAATTTTCTAACAAAAAGACCTTGTCTAAGTTGTAAACATCTTTTTAGTAAGTTCAGGGCAATATATTCTGGGCTTTAACTTTCCTTTCTTTATTCCTACCTATTGTCACAAAGCACTACTAGACATCTTTGCCACTTGGACAGTCTTACAAGTAACTGTTGGTTTCATAGCAAGCATGTTTATGACACATTACATTTGCATCTTACACAGAATTTAATAGAGTGTCTCAGTTTTAAATATGTGATGAACTTTACACACAAGATGACAAGATACTTTTACCTCAAATTCATCAGTCAAGAAATGTTTGCATTAGTATTAATATAATCTCTCTAGTTTTCATTACCAACCCTCATGAAATGACAAGCTTAGGGTTCTCCTAGGTCAACCATCACAGTGGTTCTTCCAGATCTTCCATCCCTGATGGACAAATGCAGCTCCATGATATTTACTAATCATCTAATGAATATTGAGTTCCATGTCTCAGGAAAGAACCACTGCTGGAAGAACACCAACCTTTCTAAGGACTGAGGAGGGGAAAGTGGGACCTAATCCATAGCCGCAGAAGGGATGTAAGCGGCAAACAGGGCAGTGCTGTGCTTAGTCTTCTGCTCCCCAGGAGAATGAGGGAGGCAGCAGCCTGGCAGGGGCACAAGGAAGTTAACAGAGAATCTAGATGGTTTTTTCCAACTTAGACTTCAGCAGTGCAATAGAATGAGGGCATCTGTAAAGCTTAAGAGCAAAAACAAAAATCAGTCCCAATGCTGATTCAGCAGGGTCCCCCAGGAGATTTAGAATCCCTATCATCTGTAAGGGTTTCACCTGTCCATCCTTCATAAAGGCAAAGTATTCACACACATTTTATGATTGTGACATGCAGTGTCCCTCTCAAACACTGGGAAAACGAATGTTCAAACGTTGACATTTCATGCGAAGAAGAAAATACAGAGCTCACAAGCACTTGGAAGGAAAGGTACCTTATTCCATTCACTTGTGATTCGTAATATAATGCAGTAATCCTTCCCTGTTTTCAAGGGTGCATTATAATAGTGCCCATAGTACAGTCTGTCTCCTATAGGTATCTCCATGGCATCATCTGGAACATCTTTGGCCAGTAGTTCTGCAGCCACGTATCCATCAGCATCAGAGGTGTTACTGAAGAAGGAGGAAGCGCCTTCAGAATCACAAGAAAATGCGCTTTGGAGGGCCAGGGGAAGCACTAACACCTGATATGAACTGGAAGAAAAAAGAGAAGTGTCCATCAGACCCTTGCATGGGGAATTCATTCATTCATTCATATTTATTGAGCACCTGCTATGAGATAAGCCTCTTTCTTCTTGTTTTGTTTTGTTTTGTTTTGTTTTGTTTTGTTTTGTTTTGTTTTGTTTTGAGACAGAGTCTCACTCTTTCACCAGGCTAGAGTGCAGTAGCACAGTCTCGGCTCACTGCGACCTCCGCCTCCTGGGTTCAAGTGATTCTCCTGCCTCAGCCTCCTGAGTAGCTGGGATTACAGGAGCACGCCACCACACCCAGCTAATTTTTGTATTTTTAGTAGAGACAGGGTTTCACTGTGTTGGCCAGGATGGTCTCGATCCCCTGACTTTGTGATCCTCCTGCCTCAGCCTCCCAAAGTGCTGGGATTACAGGCGTGAGCCACTGCGCTCAGTCAAGGTAAGCCTCTTTCTAGGCACTGGAGACATGACACTAGACAAGAAAAAGTCCTGGCCCATGTGGGATTTACAGTCTGATAGCTCCAACCATCATGGAATTGCAATTTGAATCTAAAGGGTTAATGCCAGATGACACAGGGCAAGGGACCTCTCCAAGTTCTGGCTGCAGAGGGATGCCAAGTACATCCTCTTTAGCTGGGACAAGTTGTTGCACATATCACTGCCCTGTGTGTGTGTGTCATAAAGTTGATCTAATCGGTGATTTTCACATGGGCAAATAAAGCCCAACTGTGGAAAGGGTTTAGTGGTCACATGGAGACCAAGTGCCTAGCACAGTGAATGTACTAAGTCCGGAAAAAAGGCTGCAGACAATCATGTGGTGACCTGAAACAGAGCTCATGTGATTTACATTCCCCACAGTTCATGGGCTGATACCAAAGTTCATGTGATATAAAGGAGACGCCAAGAGTGCAAAGTCACCATCAGTTAGTTAATCTCGCCTGACAACACCCTGAAACAGCCAGAACAGTAACGTGTCACGTATGCACTGCAAAAATTGTTTCCAATTGTGGACAGAAAAATGCACTAACAACAGGTACTGTTTTTGTTATGTGTTTCACTATTTATCCCATCAAATAGAAAGCCTGGCAGTGAAAGGAAGTGTGAGAATAAAAATGCACGGAGAATGGATCACGCTTCCTTTCTATTCCCATCTATTCTGGGCTTAGCTCCTGCCTGTAGTACCGTGTTTGAACATCTGCTTGTCTCTATCAGGCTTGATAGTACGGATCTGAATGACTAACTCTTGTATTCTTACAATTTCTTGCACAGTTTTTTGGTAACCCCCACCACCAACAATTAATGCTTCTTAAGTTGAAATTTCAGAAAAGAGGAAAAGCATTCATCAGCATGAAATATGATTAGGGTAATTTCCAAAACTCACTAGGCCATGTAATTCTATTTTACCAGTAACTTTGCACTTCCTGCTTCACATGCCTAATACCCTATCTCCTGCTTCCTTCGAGCCTATGAATCACTAAAAGATTGGGTGTTGAATATGGAAAGTCTCCCCCCACCAGGTTCCTAAACATCCTAGGTGTCCTCAGGACCCTGATTTATTGTTTGTTCGTTTGTTTCTTTCTTTCTTTCTTTCTTTCTCTCTCTCTCTCTCTCTCTTTCTTTTTCTTTTTTTGAGAGAGAGTCTTCTCTCTCTCTCTCTCTCTTTTTCTTTTTTTGAGAGGGAGTCTTGCTCTGTCACCCAGGCTGTAGTGCAGTGGCATGATCTCGGCTCACTGCAACCTTCACCTCCCAAGTTCAAGCAATTCTCCTGCCTCAGCCTCTTGAGTAGCTAGGATTACAGGCACCTGCCACCATGCCTGGCTAGTTTTTTTGTATTTTTAGTAGCGATGTGGTTTCGCCATGTTGGCCAGGCTGGTCTTGAACTCCTGACCTCATGTGATCTGCCTGCCTCTGCCTCCCAAAGTGCTGAGATTACTAAATGTGTGAGCCACCGCTCCTAGCTGAGGTCCTGATTTTCATAAAGCCTTGGCTCACTTCCAGCCAAGGTCTTTCTACAAGAGACAGAGTAAAACCTGCAGGGCAATAAGTTGTCACTACTAGCAAACAGTGCATTAAGCATCCACTGCCTCTGGGGAACACCTGGAACAACAAACTTTCCCTGAGACTTGAAGACATCCCTACATCATAGTTGCAGGCAAAAGTAAAAGTTGCAGCAGCTCCATGCTGTCTATAAGTACATCTTCAAATCCCTCTCATCTTTCTATGTAGGTGGTGGTGGTGAAGAGCAAGGTCAAGGCTCACCTGTTCCCATTTGGTTCTGCACGTTGCTCCCTAGAGGCAGCATTGACAGAGTATGAAGCAGCTCCCCAATTAGCCTGATCATAATCACCTGTGTTGCTTGATTATTATACAAATTCCCAGACCTCATCCCAGACCTACTGAATCAAAATCTCTAGGAGCAGAGTCTGGGAATTTGCATCGCTGATAAAGCTCCCAGGTGATTCCTATAATCTGGCAAGTAAGGGAGATACAAGCATTAAGGGAGCCCAGCAACAGGCTACAACCTCTGCCCAACATCATCAAGCTCAGGAGAGAGACTTGGTCCCAAGGTCCTTCCTCCATTATGTACCCCAAGACGCTGGCCCCAAACCGTGCACAAAGCACACTCAGGCCTGTCTCACACACTGGGAAAGCTGCTGCCCCCACAGCGCAAACCAGGTAGTCAGGCTGAGGAAGACACCCTGCCTGCTGATAACGAGCCATGTGACGTTAGAGAAACAGCTGTGGCTGTTTGGAACATGACTGTTCTGGAAGGACTTTTCTCCTCCTTTTCACCACCGCACTCCCTTGGATGACTCACAGATCTCCACTTCCTGTTTTGGAGGTGCTGGCCAGCATACAGCCACAAGGGGAAACAGTCATTGGGCTTCTCTTTTTTGCATTATGTAATTATTTGACTTAACTATCACATTTGCTCTTGCAAGTGCTCTCAGGAAGTGACATCACAACTTCTGTTCTCTTTATAATGACAGAATTACAATGCCTTCTGGTAAATGGTGGAGAATTAGAACAATTTATACAATGTCCATCCCTGGAAAGATCTTTGCACATTTACTGAATTTAAACGAATGTAAAAGCAGGAAAACCCTGAGTTTTATTGTAAATGGATATATAGATAATATCGCCAGACTTTGTTTTTTGTCATTTTATAATATCTCATTATTTTTTTTTTGAGATGGAGTCTCGCTGTCACCCAGGCTGTAGTACAGTGGCATGATCTCGGCTCACTGCAACCTCTGCCTCCCAGGTTCAAGCAATTCTCCTGTCTCAACCTCCTGAGTAGCTGGGATTACAAGCACCCACTACCACACCCAGCTAATTTTTGTATTTGTAGTAGAATGGGGTTTCACCATATTGGCCAGGCCGGTCTTGAACTCCTCACCTCATGATCTGCCCGCCTCAGCCTCCCAGAGTGCTGGGATTACAGGTATGAGCCACTGCGCCCAGCCCACATTTTTTTTTAACCTTGATTTTACTGAAGGGTCAGGAGAGACGAAGGCAGTGTTGGTTAGGTCATGTACACTGTCGGCTACTTGACCAGGTACCGAGAGAAAGCTGTTCGTCTCTCCAAGCCAACCTCAATCTTCCTCTCTAAAAAAGGAAGATTGAGTAGACTGATGCTACTTTCCTAATCCTGCCATGACCTTTGCAAATAAAACGCTTAACTGAACACAGTGTAGTCCTCCAACTGAGGTAAATTAATTCCATCCTAATGCCATCTGGAATCCCAGAAGCAGTCAGTAATTATGCAGTGTCTTGCCCATAACTCAATACCTGAAAAGACAAAAAGATTTATCTAAATGATCTTTTCAGAAATCACTGCACAACCCCCAAGATCTGCCTTGCATAAACGGCAACATATTCTGCCTTTGGGAAATGAAACGATGCCCCTGACCTGCCGTTGATAAAGGATGCACTATGAGACATGAGTGCAAAGAACAGTCCTGACATGTTCTAAGCATGCAACCAATGCTTGCCCAGAAACCAAAGGAATGGATTTAATTTCTTGGGCTAAACTGCCCAAATGCTAGTATATGGTCCTTTAGAAGTCTCTCTATGCATTAGAAAGGATGCTGGTTGGGATTAAAGGCCAGTCTATACCCAAGGAAACAAAACAGGCCCCAACTGCATTGTTCTAACAACTCAAGTGCAGCCACCAACACAGAAGTCTTCTCCTCCCTGAAATCAAAGTTTCCAAAACACTCCACGGGGATCACTGGGCAACCATGGAGAAAGGACAGCTACTGACCTGATTGGTCCATTTTTCTCCTTGGCTTTCCTCAGTCTGAGGCGTGGTAGAGGTCCTCCGTGCACCATAAAAAATTCTACTTCTGGAAGGGGAGGCTCTGAAAACATGTTGAAAAGAAGAAAAGGGGTATGATCAGAAGAAGTAAAAAGCAGGACAACAGTGGTCCTCGTGAGGGCTACTAAAAGGGAAGTTTTCATTTCAGAAGCAAGGAGCATGGTCTGTACATGCTATAACATGGATAAACATGCTAAGTGAAATACAGCAGGCACAAAAGGACAGATTCTGTATCATTCTACTTAGATGAAAAACCTAACACAGGCAAATTCATAGAGACAGAAGAGGTTGCTGGGGGTGGAAGGGGCAGTGGGAATGGGAATGTATTGCTTAACAGTCATAGAGGTTCTACTTGGGGTGATGAAAAAAATTTGGAAATACACAGTGGTGATAGTTGCATAACATGGCAAGAAACCACGTGCTTCGAGAGGGTTAAAATGGCAGATGCTATGTTATGTGTGTTTTGCCACAATAAAAAGAAGTGATGAGTATGCCACAGCACTGGCAGAGGATGGATGTGGTGGGCATTACAGTTTGCTTGGTGGGTTGATTCCCACTTGTTAGGGAAGACACAGCACATCAGACTTCTATATCCTCTCTAATCACAGAGCTCTCTGTCCTTATTTCCCACCCCCAGCAACAAGATTTCCCAAATAGGTTTTCCATCAGGAGGAAAATATACTGACTGGCTGACTGCAGTGCTCTTGCACCTCACTGGTAGTTCCATTCCCGGTGTAAACGTGCTGCCATTCTGCCTTGTGGGTAACACGCTAAGCTAGACATACTGGCACTAACCATTCACACTAGGTGTGTTCTATGTATGCCTCATCTTACTTCAGCTCAACAAGGCTACCAAGTGGCTGGTGTTTATAAAAGCAATTGCTTGTTTCCTCTCTAGGGGTTCCTACCTTAGCCCATGCAAGGCAGGAACTTCTTCCCTCTCCAAAGTAGGAGAAAAAGAGCTTTCACCTGGCCCTCTCTCTCTGTGATTGGTGAAACAGCTAGTTCCCACCTGGCCCCATCCTTATTTTTTTCTTTTTCTTTTTTATCATGGGATGGGGGTTACCTGGATGCAGGACAGGTGATTTCCCACCTCCTAGTCCCATTGTCCCTCTCTAAGCAAACCTGAGTCAAAGTAAGCCTGAAGCCTGGTCCACATTTGCCCTATGGCCGGGGTTCCCAGCCCCCAGACGGTGGACCGGAACCAGGCCACACAGCAGGAGGTGAGCAGTGGATGGGCGAGCATTCCCACCTGAGCTCCACCTCCATCAGATCAGCAGCAGCATTAGATTCTCATAAGAGCACGAATCATACTGTGAACTGTGCATGGGAAGAACCTAGGTTGCACATTCCTTATGAGAATCTAATGCCTGATGATCTGAGGTGGAACAATTTTATCCTGAAACCATCCCCCAACCCACTCCGGCCCATGGAAAAATTGTCTCTAGAGAAACCGGTCCCTGGTGCCAATAAGGTTGGATACCACTACTCTATAGCTTCACCTTCCCCATAGGTGGGGCACAAAGTGTAGGTATGGGAGGAAGTTCCAGAAGCTTCATTTTGGCCGGGCATGGTGGATCATGCCTGTAATCCCAGTACTTTGGGAGGCCAAGGCAGGCAGACCTGAAGCCAGGAGTTTGAGATCAGCCTGGCCAACATGGTGAGACCCTGTCTCTACTAAAATGCAAAAATTAGCCAGGTGTGGTGGCCTGCGCCTGAAGTCCCAGCTACTTGGGAAGCTGAGGCAAGAGAATCGCTGGGACCCAGGAGGCAGAGGTTGCAGTGAGCTGGGATCACACCACTGTACTCCAGCCTGGGTGACAGAGACTCTGTCTCAAAAAAAAAAGAAGCCTCAGACCCAAACCAGTTTTACCAGCAATAAAACTGTTTACTTTGATCCCTCTCTTACTCTTGTGTATCTTCTTCAATTTCCCCAGAGGTAGAACAAGTACAGCTTTTATCTTAGAAAAACTCATTTTATAGATAAGGAAACTGATACATGAAGAGATTGTTACTTGTCCAAGAGCACAAGTAGTAGTAGAGCCAGAATTTGAACTCATGCTCTGCTACACACCTCTCTCATTCACCTTGGGGTATCTTGAATATTTGGTTCTACCAGTTGATCCAACAAATTTTCATCACCTTTGAGTGAACTAATAAACTCTACTTTAAAAACACTGGCCAGGGGCAGTGACTCACACCTGTAATCCCAACACTTTGGGAGGCAGAGGTGGGCATATCACTTGAGGTCAGGAGTTCAAGCCTAGCCTGGCCAACGTGGTGAAACTCTGTCTCTACTAAAAAATATAAAAATTAGCCAGGCGCGGTGGCACACACCTGTAATCCCAGCTACTCAGGAGTCTGAGGCAGGAGAATCGCTTGAAGCTGGGAGGAGGAAGCTGCAGTGAGCCAAGATCGTGCCACTGTACTCCAGCCTGGGTGAAAAGTGAAACTCCATCTCAAAAAAACAAAAATAAAAACACTGAATCCCCAAAGACTTTATAAACACATCAACTCCAAGAAAATGATCCATTTGCCACAATTACTGCAGTTAGAGGTCTACCCAATGTGATTCATATCAGAGAAGCTAGACCGTAAACTGCAGAAATAATCCACATGATGTAGTGGGTAGGAACACGGGGCCTGGGTTGCTATCCTGGTTCTACCACTTACACCTCCAGCAGCCTCATCTGTTAAATAGGGGTAAAAATAATCTCCACCTTATAGGTCTGTCGAGGGAATTAGTAAGTCAATTAATAATGATTAACCATGATAGTTAATGAATCAACACAAGAAAAGATAATAAAACAGTGTGGAACACAGCAACCCTCAGCACCTGTTGGCACCCATCAGATATCACTTGAGCTACTAGTTGCCAATTCTATGCTAGGAACTTTGTCTCTGCTCTTTCGTCAAATCCTCACAGCAGCTCTGTGTGACAATCATCTCTATCTTATCAGTGAGGAAATCAAGGCTTTGGCCAGCTGAGTCACACCACTAGCAGACAGCTGGCCAAGCCAAGCTTAACACTCAGGGTAACTGGACTCCAAAGTCTCATTTGCTTGCCAGGCTCTGACAATACTTGCGTTCACTTTGCCTGAGATTAAACCACGACCTAGAAGTAGAAACCTGGAATTACAAATCCCTGAGGAATGAGAGACCTCTGTGCCATCCCCAGCCTGAGATGGTAAAGAACAGAGCTTGGGAGTCCTGGGGGTGTCACACACCAAGGATCTCTCAATTAGCAGATGTTCAAATGGAAGGAATGAGTTGAAAAGAAAGGACCCCAAGGGGAGGCCATAGGGACAGGTTTCGCTCTTTCCCAGCTTGAGCACACAGGAAATGTAATTCAGGGGACTGTGACTTGTAATACAGAAAGAGGGTTCCCTACAGGACAGGGGGCAGTGACAGAAGCCAGGCAAAAGAGGCAGTGTCCCTAAGTCAGGGCTGGAAAGCATTCTGCTGAATGAACAGGTGCTTGCAAGAAAATAAACCTGGAAGAGACCAAGGAAAGCTGCAACCCTGTAATTGCAAAACTCCCAAAGATGAGACACCCCGTGCCTGAGATTCTCCAAGTCCGTATATGCTGTCTTTTCATATGTTACATACGTTATATGTATGTGCTCAGCATCCCTTTTTCTGTGGAGAGCAGCCCTTCCCCTTCCCATATGGTTCTTACAGGGCCAGCATTCCCAGTACTCCAAATCCCCGCTGGCCCAGGGCCCAGTGATCATGGGATTGCCATTCCCCAGTCAGAAGACAGGTCAAAAAGAGTGATCTGTTTAACTTTAGGAGATTGGAGGCTTGGGTTTTTTATTGTTTATTTGTTTTTTTGGTTTTTTTTTTTTTTTTAGATGGAGTCTTGCTTACTGCCCAGGCTGCAGTGCAGTGGCACCATCTTGGCTCACTGCAACCTCTGCCTCCCAGGTTCAAGCAATTCTCCTGCCTCAACCTCCTGAGTAGCTGGGACTGCAGGCATGCACCACCATGCCTAGCTAATTTTTGTATTTTTAGTAGAGACGGGGTTTCACCATGTTGCCCAGGCTGATCTCAGACTCCTGACCTCAGGTGATCTGCCTGCATCGGCCTCCCAAAGTGCTGGGATTACAGGCATGAGCCACCACGCCCAGCATAGGAGATTGGAGGGTTTTATTCTTCTTTTTAGATTGTAGCTGTAAGTACCAGGTAGGCCAACAGTACAATGTCCATCCTCCCAGGTCTGCCTGGAAAAGCTTGGCAGAAAGAGGGACTCACGGCTGGATGAGCAACGGGGCTGTGGTGTCACCACGTGTGGCTGGAGCTTGCCATGCTCCAAGTGAGATCCCTCCCTGGCCTTCCCAGTTCTGCAATCCCACAAATTCCACATGCTTAAGCTGGTTGGAGTTGGGTTTCTGTTACTGCAACCAAAAGAGCCCTGGCTATAGAATGCATCCAGTGCCCTGGTATTCTGTGGAAGGGCAGAGCCCTCAGCTGTGTACTGGCGGGAACTCTGGTGCTAGACCAAGTGGACAGGATAGGGAAGCAGTCCTTATGCATTTGTGTGAGAAGAATTGCTGTGAATTCCAGGCCCATCCTAAACCCCTTGGGTGGTGGAGACAGTGAGGACAGCAGGAAGAACTGCCTTAAGGACTCCCTTCAGGCACTGGACTAAACCATTTCTCCTTCAAAGTCTATCACTGCATCAGCTCAGTGGGGCAAGGGAGAAAGGGCACAGTGGAAGGAAAGAGAGAGATATTTTAAAAATATGTATAAATGCCTCCCCGCCACCCACCACCCTAGCCCCAAATCCTGCCACTGTGAAATGAAGGACTCTGAGGCCAAAATAGATTCTCAAGACTGCATTTACCAGATTAGAAAATAGCTTTGGCATCGAAACCCTCAATCTCAAGTTATAATAAATAAAAACTTAGACGTGCCTGGACCTTGATGGTTTTTAAAGCTCTACCATATAGATCTGCTTCTTCATGTATCTGCTTTCAACAAACACCCACTAGCTACCTCTGCCCCAGGCTCTGTGCTAGGCTGGGAGAGACAAGCATGGAA